ACCAAAAAGCAACCAGATTTTACAAAGTTGTGCAAAGAAAATCGTGCACATTTGTCGCATTAAAATTAAATAACCTTATGTTATTTTCATTATTATTAGAATTGTATTTTAAAGGTAATAAATGTAAAAAAAAACTTATTCTATTTATCACTAGCTGTCTACCCACAGCTTTGCCCGCATTATATCGAATTTTCTCGCAGTAAAATGTAGCCTATGTCCATCTCCAACATGTAACCTATCTCTGTGCCAAATTTTATTAAAACCTGTTCAGCGGTTTAGACGTGAAAAGGTGACAGACAGACAGCAATACCTTCGAATTTATATTATTAGTATGGATTAATATGGATTTCTGCTATAAGGGGTACTCGAGTTTTAGCTCTTTCTTGAAGTGGTACGTAGGAAAAACTAATTGGGAACTACTGTATTAGATAGATGACTGGCATGACTCTATTGTTAAAGGAAAAGTATGATGTAGAGGGGCAAGCACTACAAACTGCTAACCAACTACAAGCGAGGTGGAAAGTATAAATTTTAAATTAAATAAATATAATAAAATATGATTAAAAATTGCAACCTGGCAGTGACAACGTCACAATAAATAATTGCTGGTTGTTGTTGGCTTGCTTAGTTAGCTACTTGTGACCTATACACTTAAATTTACCAGAAACACAGTGTTTTTATCCCTAATCTTGGATTAAATGTGCAATGCTTCATGTTATGAGTATAAAAATCTCTAATTAAGATCTATAAAATTATACAGTATTTCTATTTTTAAATGTGTTTAACTCTTTTTAACTCTTTCTGCTCTTTAGGCACTAAGAGGGCCTTTCAGCAAGCCCATTATGGGTTTGAACAGATACACAATTGGGTGGTTAGGCAGCAAGGAACAGAACTCAACATATCCAGACAGATCACCCTAAAAAATTCTTGGGTTTTTTGACCTATCTGGATTTATTCGTGGGTCTCCAGCATAGATAGGCTGCCACCTTAATTAACCACTCAGCCATCCACACATCATACTGGTCTTAAAATTGTATGGGTACTGGAAGATGAGGCCGAACATCTGGATCCCAATCAGACTCGAATCCTAGTGTAGACAAAATCTGTTGGTACCAGAGCAATAGGACACCGCATCATAGGATCTTATTGTATTTTTTGGCTGTAAATGTATTTAAATAAAAAGAATCTTATACCAAATTATTTTTTATTAAAACTTCAAACTTTTTGTTCTCATTTAGTTCAAATATTATTTCCAATTAAAATTTACTAAATTTAGTAATTGTACATAAAAGTGTTATACAAAAGTTTTTAAACTGTGAAAATTTATTTTTTTTTCTCAGATAATATTGTAAAATACATTAATATAATGAAATGATAATGATGAATATGCAACATTAAATTCACAGATACTCGTTACGTGTTTCATATTTTCTGACTGGAGAGAGGATTTCGGAGAACTAATATGACGGAGTCTCCACGAAGAAACATCTTCGATATGTAGCGATCCTTGTTGACGGGTTTTGCCTTCTTCTTTCCTTTGCCAGTTCTGGGCATTTCAGTCCACATTTCCTTCACGTTTTCCAAAACCATGTTGCAATGCCTAAAATAAATTGTTAAAAGCATTTTAAAAACTGATCATCTTTTATTAATACAAAATTATTTGATGAGTAATAAAATTATATTTTGAGACACCATGAAGTTTTGATACTAAACCAGGGATGTGGAGTCGGAGTCGTGGAGTTTTGATGTTTTAGCCGGAGTCAGAGTCGGATGGTAAGGAAAAGTCGGAGTCGGAGTTGGTAGATTTTTACGCGACTTCCACAGCCCTGGCAGGGCTGTTGAGTCGGAGTCGGAGCCGGAGTCGTGGAGTTTTGGTGTTTTAGCCGGAGTCGGACGATAAGGAAAAGTCGGAGTCGGTAGATTTTTACGCGACTCCACAGCCCTGTACTAAACACTGGACTTTTTCACAACCACTTTATTTTCTGATGTACAGTACTTAACAGTGTATAAACCAATCTTTCCAAATGCCAATACACTATTTAATCGGAAATTAATTTAAAATATAAAATATGAGAAAAAAACAGCCTATTTTGAGGTTGGAATAGGATGAATATTTTTCTCATAATTTATATATTTTAACTTAATTTTTGACCCCACTGAATAGTTTTTAAACTTTTAAAAGAATTGTAATAAAATAAGAAAAGAAAAATGGAAAATGAGGTAAAGATTAGACATTTACAACTTAAGGAGAAAAATGCTAATGATATCAATGATTTTAAATGTTACCTAAGAGAAGTGACACCAAGGAATTTTCAATTACATAAATCTATGGGCGTAATCAAAATTTCAGGCAACTTCTGGCTGCCAGCAAATAGCATGGCAACAATGGGAAATGACTGTAAGCATCAGTTTCAGTGCTCAATCCTTCACCAAACAACAAAGCGGCCACCATGAAACTCATAAGGTCTCTATTTTGCATTGACAATTTTAAATTTATTTGTTGATGAAAATACCCTTAATAAATTAAGATTAAGTTAGCACATTAATATATTATTTTAATATACTAATACATTTATGTAAGATTTCATATAATTTGTTTTAGTTGTTCGGATTGATTTAGTTATTATAACTCTTACGGAAATTAAAAGATCTTCATCCCGACGTAAATTTACCAATTATATAATTGAATAATACAGTAACAAAACTAATTACGGATATAGAATGTACCATTTTATAATTAAAGATTAGTATGGAAGAAAACAGAAGTTAATGAATATAACATGCAAACATTTACAAAAACATATAAAGATAGATAAAGGTGACATTAGAATCATATATCACTTATCAATAACATTAAATCATAAATATAAAAGATTAAAAAATGCATTTTAATAAACAAATTATCAATTATTAAAGCAGATAACTAACATCAACTAGTTATCATAGTAATGAAGTAGAAAATAAAAATTTAATAGTAGTATTATCTGAAAAATTAAGAATTAATAAGAAGGAGAATTACAGAAAAAAATTACAAAGATAATTAATGAAATATAAAGAAATATAGATGATTTCAGCACAGCAAAAACAGGAAATTTTGGATTTTAGTAATATAAGAGTACAAAACTTGACACGAAGTTAAAAACATAAATTGGGTAGAAAATGTTGACCTATAGTAAATTTTTGATCTTCTGTATTGTATAAACTGGAATTATTTTTAAAAACTCTACAGGATATACCATTATCAAATTATAGCATCAAAAATATTAATTAATGGATTATTGAAGGAAAAAGTAAACCTATCTTATCAAAAGATGAGTTTGGATATTAAATCAATGCATCCTTCTATTAAATTTATGATTAAAGAAGCATTAAACATGTATAAAGTTCCAGATTATATAAAAACTGATCAAATTTACATTTTTAAATAACTTTTTTATTGTTTTAAACACATTTTACATGCTAGTAGATGGAATAACGATTGGATTGGAACTTCATTAAAAGACGAGATATAGAACAAATGTCTAATATTTGTTAAATGGATATCCTAAGAAACCTTTTAAGAAAATGTATGATAAACATCTTTTACATAGACTTAAAGTTAAAATATACCCAGTCTTTTCAATATTTCCAATTTCCAAATATCAAAGATTTATTTGAAAAATATAATAGTGAATTTAACAAATTTTCCATAGCATTGGATCCTCCTCAAAAGAATCTCTATTCTTTTGNTAAAAAATAAATAGAATGTAACTATCTCTAAGTACATATAAATCATTGTTTAAATCAAGTAGGGCCTAAATTACATTTAATATTTTAAAAATTTATTTTTATCTATAGAAGTTTAACTTAAGATATAGAAGGGAATGCCAGAAAATTAAAAAATTTGCTATTTTATTTCTGTGAGAGAAGCTCAGTGTAATGACTCTGGGTACATTCTGGTATATATCAGTTTCATCCACAACCAATGCACTGGCAAATGGTTTAAAAAGCTTTTACCAGAATATCTGACAACTGAACAAGACAGAAGAAAACAACACTAAACTGGCATTTGCAGGCTTATTTTGTCAAAATCGTTTTATTTAACACAAGTAGCAAAACTGGTGTTAATAATACTATGTCTATGAAGAAGGCCATATTGCTTCACTTGAGGTTACCATATCCAGCTTGACAAGTACAATGTGCATCAGTTGCTGTAGCAATGAACTTGTCAGTGAATATCAGAGCATACTTTAGAACAATACAATTCACTGATGGGCACTTACTTATTGATGCATACTGAAATGTACTCTGATTCCTCAAGTTATGTTTCATCAGATTTGACTATGTGCCTCCAATTATTTCATATTTCTGCATTAAACCATGCTTAATTTCAATTCTTTTTATATTTTAAATTTTGAAGAAGCTTTATCTTTTAATTTTTATACATTTTAATACAATAGCTGTTAAAACTTGAATTAATCTCATTATTTTACTCAATCTGTCTCATATAAAAGCTATTAATATAATTTTTCTAGTAAATATAAAAGTTTTGTTATCTGCAATTATGTTTTATCTATATTTTTATATCTAGTAAAAAAGTATATATTTAAATTTTCCATTTTACAAATATATAAAAACTTTTTGTCAAATGACTGTAATTTCAACCTTTCTAGTTCTTGTACAAGATTCAAATTAATTTGCTAATAGATGCATAAGACTGCTTTCATATTTGTTTAATAAACAGATCCATAAAACACTCAAAAATTTTCAAAACAGATAAACTATCATAAAATCTTTGTTCAAGAGACTCCAAAATGCATAAATGACTAATTTAATTAATTTTAAATTAGTTTTTATTTTCAGATGCTTCATTTTCTAATTCATCTTCTATAAATTTCCTTGAATCTTCTTCAGATTTCTCACATAATCCTTTATGTTCACAAATGCTTTTACTTGTCAAACCTTTAGGTAACACATTCCTCTTAGAAATGGAAAGCGAAGGTTCTTCTTCCAACTCTGTAATTGTTACTGTGCTTCTTTCTGAATCACATAATCTCTGATGTTCATTCTCAGATTCACTTGTTGACTGTATTGATATAGATTTGATAGAATCTGATTTTATCAGATGATATTTACCTTTTAAAATTTCCAACATCAAATGCTTTTCATTATTATCTGACTCCCTCGTGCGCCTCGAATCAGACGCCGGTTCTAATCCTCCGAGAAAAAATGGAAAGCGTATCCGATATCCAAACAACATTATTAACAACAAGAACATAAGTAACGTAATGATAATGCTCACAGGTACCATTAAAAACCATGATAACTGACTGAATAATCTTTGATAGAATAATCCAATATATTCTCCCAAAAACTGTAGTGGATATAATACTATATGCTTAAATGTTTCCGTCACAGCCTTCATCGGTGATACCTTTAACTCTGGCGACACATGAATACTTTCGTAATACTTTTTACACTGAACACTGAAAGAATAATCATTAGAAAACCATAAACTAAGGTAACTTCCCCATGTTAACTTTTCGGGATGACAAGAATCGGGCAAGCTCTTTTTATCCATTTCTGAATACAAATCAGAATACTCTTTCTTCACTAAATATATCCAATTCCATATTATATCAAGAAGAATAACAAATACCGAAACAGTAGAAATAACGCTTCTCAACGTTAAGCGAGGCTTGATAAACCAGATAACTGAACACACTACAATAACTACTACTGCACCGACGTACTGCAAATAAACGTAAACATTGTTTGTAGACTGATATTCTTCTGGTTTAAATACGACAGCACCATTTATCATTTCAGACAAGACATTGTCTAGATCCTGGATTTTATTGGAAGGGTTTTTGATAAATAATTTCATGGTAGTTATATCACTATTTTTAATGGTTAAATCCACATGTATGGAACCCGACACTTCACCACCTAACGACAGAAACTTACTGGCCAATTTCTTAACACTTCGCTTCAGATATAGAAACTCATTCTGTGAAATAACTGTTTGTTTGCTGCTCCCATATTTCTGGCAATTAGCTAATTCTTTACAACTACACTGTGAATCATTTGAATCAGCAGAAATTTGCTTCATCAAAACCTTAGCCTTTTCCTGCTTATTTTCTTCCGATTTCTTCTCGTTAACATCGATTTCTGGGTCAAACATGGCATAAGGATCAACAAGATCTTCTTTGTTTTCTTCACAATTTTCGAAATATTTATTGCAATGTTTACTAGAACAGCTCATGCGACAGATGTCAATTGACAAAATGAGTAAAATAAAGGATAATGTTTTCGAATTCATTGTGTAATACATAAACTGAAGAAGAAATATCTGTTAAACTGAATAAATTACGACGAAGCAAGTTACTTTTCACTCGAAACTCGTATCGTGCATCAATCAAAACCAACGTGATCACCAGATTACTCTATATTCAGTGCTGCCAACTTTCATTTTTAGGGAAGAAAAATTTATTATAATTATAATTAAATTTTAAACAAATATAAAAATTTCTTTTATATTAATAAATAATATTTTAAAAAAAGTAATAATTTTGACAAATATTTCGTTTTAGTAAATAACACTAGTTTAAAAAAGTTTTTATACCGATAAACAATGGATTGTCTGTTCTTCCATTAAAACACGCATGATAAATTACAAAAGAAAGATAGCGAAACATGCACTGAATGATATATAACAAAATTCATCTCTGAATATACCATTGTTTTCTGATTTCAAAATATAGTACCCTCAATTATTTGGGATCGCATTAACCGGGATGACAAAAATGTCTATAGATGAATTGGATTTATGGGCTAAAGCCATACAACAGATGGGAAATCTCTCCTGTTAAGGGGATGTGAGGACTTACGAGATAATTTTATAGGAAACTGGCCTCTAATTATGTGTTAGAAACATGAATAAAACTGTAAACAGTCCATTGTTAATAGCCCAATAGCGAGTCGCGACTCTACGACCGGCATTCAATGGTGTTATCGATTTCGGCAATTTGTGGACCGCCTATGGAGAGTCACAAATTGCTGTATGACTTATTCGCTTTATAGGTTATTGGCCAGAAAAGAAATGGTGTTCCGAAGAGTAAAGATAAGAAATGAATCTAGGCGAGGTTTGGGATTTCTAAAGCGCAGCTGTACACCTTCCGATGATGTTTCCCGAGTATCTCTAGTAGTAAAACTTTTGTAAGACCTATTATTTCCTTTCGGCACTCCCTCTGAAGATTGTTTGATCCACTATTGAGCGACTCTTGCCACTCATTGAAGTATCACATAAGGCGCTACTAATAGTAGTGTTCCAATATAAATTTACAAATGGAGCGTTGCAGTTATTTATTTATTTTTTTAAGAAAATATCTTGTTTCAAAATTAGTATGAAAATAATATTTTAATTTATTAAAAATATACTTAAATGCTTCAAATTTCAAGTTTGTTGCGTACAGGATTTAAATGGAACTGGATGATTTTTTTCCTGGATAATTGGGAGCTTGACTGTATAACTTGTGTTACTTTTAGCCAAATGAACACTCTTGATAATTTCGCAATTATTAGCTTTTATGCCTATTTAGACATTTGAGATCATATGATATCACATTCTATGCAAGCCATAAAATAAATTTTTATAGAAATAGTGGACATATTATTATTTTAAACAATCACAAAGGTTGCAACATACATTATTATTACAATATTAGTGAAGTGGCCAATAGGTCAATCAATGAGTTTTCAGTAATACTCTATCTTTTATTAGTGAAAGTTCCATAATTAGAAATTAATTTGTGGCTTTAATTTTATCTCATGTCACATTGTTTTGCAACATTTCCTTTTGTATGTGCAACAAATAAATATATTTAGAATGGTTTGTGGTACAACATTGTTCTGCATCACTATTGGTAATCACTAAAATAAAGATTGGAATATCAACCTGGTAGGAGGACTGAGAAACATTATTTAGGTGTTGGATGTATGAACAATAGCTAGAAAATGCCACACAGCCAGCCAATTGATCAGGTATAAACCTGTGACCAATGGTTGTGGTTCTATCCATTCAGTTACTAGTAGACCAATTATTTTGTATTTAAAAAAAACTATAGTTTTCGGTAAAAATAAATCAACCATAGATCAGATTTATAACCTACAAGAATTTAAACATGTAATACATTGCTTAATCATGAATTTTGGAGATATGTAAGAGCATAGACAGAGAAGTAATCTTCAGAGGGATGGAAAAACTCTTATAAAACACAAACACTTGAAAGTTCAAAATAAAGAGTAAGAGATGAATCTTTGAGATATTTGAAGTAAAATCTGATGCAAAAAAAGGGCATAATGTCTCCAATCTTTAAGTTAGCACTAAAAGAAAGCCATTAAAATTGCAGAAATATTGGAATAAAGCTAGGTGAAAAAAGTATTAGTAGAGAAATTGCATGAAGGGGTACGCGCGGCAATCTAAAATCGGTCGATTTAAAATTTAAATGCATGAGATGAAGCAATCAAAAAAATAATGGGTGGACCATCAAAAATTCGGCAATTTACAACACGATGTCGAATGCACAAATTCGTTTATTTATAACTAACAATATTCTCGAAATTTCATTAAAAAAATGCATTTGTGACAATACCTAAATGAAATTCTTACGCAAGAAACAAAAATTGTACAATTAACACAATTTGTTTTCGCGAAATTAATTTTGAAAATTTTTGTCGCTGTTATTTCCCCCAGAGTATAATGAGACTTCATTGAAATAAAATAAAAATTGTTTTCTGTTAATCTTTGTAATATTATCTGTAAAACCAGTATAATAAGTCCTGATAATAGAAGATACGAAGTTATAGTCGAAAAATTTACATATTAATAAGATTTCACTGAGTTTAATAATCAGTTGCGACATTTCGCTTCTAAATCGGGTTAGAATTTATGATGTCAGCGAAGCGGCAATAAAATACTTACTACCATTTTGCACAACATACCTCTGCAAAAGCGGATTTTCGGCCATGACAAACATGAAAACTAAACATCGTCACCGACTTCAGCTCGAAGATGGCCAAAAAGCAACCAGATTTTACAAAGTTGTGCAAAGAAAATCGCGCACATTTGTCACATTAAAATTAAATAACCTTATGTTATTTTCATTATTATTAGAATTGTATTTTAAGGTAATAAATTTAAAAAAATAACTTATTCTATTTATGTCTACCCACAGCTTCGCCTGCATTATATCGAATTTTCTCGCAGTAAAATGTAGCTTATGTCCATCTCCAACATGTAAGCTATTCTGTGCAAATTTTATTAAAACCTGTTTAGCGGTTTAGACGTGAAAAGGTAACAAACAGACAGAATTGCCTTCGAATTTATAATATTAGTATGGATTAATATGGATTTCTGCTATAAGGGGTACTCGAGTTTTAGCTCTTTCTTGAAGTGGTACGTAGGAAAAACTAATTGGGAACCACTGTATTAGATACATGACTGGCATGACTCTATTGTTAAAGGAAAAGTATGATGTAGAGGGGCAAGCCACTACAAACTGCTAACCAACTACAAGCGAGGTGGAAAGTATAAATTTTAAATTAATAAATACTGTATAATATGATTAAAAATTGCAAACCTGGCAGTGACAATGTCACAATAATTGCTGGTTGTTGTTGGCTTGCTTAGTTAGTTACTTGTGACCTATACACTTAAATTTACCAGACAGTGTTTTTATCCCTAATCTTGGATTAAATGTGCAATGCTTCATGTTATGAGTATAAAAATCTCTAATTAAGATCTATAAAATTATACAGTATTTCTATTTTTAAATGTGTTTAACTCTTTTTAACTCTTTCTGCTCTTTAGGCACTAAGAAGGCCTTTCAGCAAGCCCATTATAGGTTTGAACAGATACACAATTGGGTGGTTAGGCAGCAAGGAACAGAACTCAACATATCCAGACAGATCACCCTAAAAAATTCTTGGGTTTTTTGACCTATCTGGATTTATTCTTGGGTCTCCAGCATGGATAGGCTGCCACCTTAATTAACCACTCAGCCATCCACACATCATACTGGTCTTAAAATTGTATGGGTACTGGAAGATGAGGCCGAACATCTGGATCCCAATCAGACTCGAATCCTAGTGTAGACAAAATCTGTTGGTACCAGAGCAATAGGACACCGCATCATAGGATCTTATTGTATTTTTTGGCTGTAAATGTATTTAAATAAAAAGAATCTTATACCAAATTATTTTTTATTAAAACTTCAAACTTTTTGTTCTCATTTAGTTCAAATATTATTTCCAATTAAAATTTACTAAATTTAGTAATTGTACATAAAAGTGTTATACAAAAGTTTTTAAACTGTGAAAATTTATTTTTTTTTCTCAGATAATATTGTAAAATACATTAATATAATGAAATGATAATGATGAATATGCAACATTAAATTCACAGATACTCGTTACGTGTTTCATATTTTCTGACTGGAGAGAGGATTTCGGAGAACTAATATGACGGAGTCTCCACGAAGAAACATCTTCGATATGTAGCGATCCTTGTTGACGGGTTTTGCCTTCTTCTTTCCTTTGCCAGTTCTGGGCATTTCAGTCCACATTTCCTTCACGTTTTCCAAAACCATGTTGCAATGCCTAAAATAAATTGTTAAAAGCATTTTAAAAACTGATCATCTTTTATTAATACAAAATTATTTGATGAGTAATAAAATTATATTTTGAGACACCATGAAGTTTTGATACTAAACCAGGGCTGTGGAGTCGGAGTCGTGGAGTTTTGATGTTTTAGCCGGAGTCAGAGTCGGATGGTAAGGAAAAGTCGGAGTCGGAGTTGGTAGATTTTTACGCGACTTCCACAGCCCTGGCAGGGCTGTTGAGTCGGAGTCGGAGCCGGAGTCGTGGAGTTTTGGTGTTTTAGCCGGAGTCGGACGATAAGGAAAAGTCGGAGTCGGTAGATTTTTACGCGACTCCACAGCCCTGTACTAAACACTGGACTTTTTCACAACCACTTTATTTTCTGATGTACAGTACTTAACAGTGTATAAACCAATCTTTCCAAATGCCAATACACTATTTAATCGGAAATTAATTTAAAATATAAAATATGAGAAAAAAACAGCCTATTTTGAGGTTGGAATAGGATGAATATTTTTCTCATAATTTATATATTTTAACTTAATTTTTGACCCCACTGAATAGTTTTTAAACTTTTAAAAGAATTGTAATAAAATAAGAAAAGAAAAATGGAAAATGAGGTAAAGATTAGACATTTACAACTTAAAGAGAAAAATGCTAATGATATCAATGATTTTAAATGTTACCTAAGAGAAGTGACACCAAGGAATTTTCAATTACATAAATCTATGGGCGTAATCAAAATTTCAGGCAACTTCTGGCTGCCAGCAAACAGCATGGCAACAATGGGAAATGACTGCAGGCATCTTTTTCAGTGCTCAATCCTTCACCAAACAACATGGCAGCCACCATGAAACTCATAAGGGCTCTATTTTGTACTGACAATTTTAAATTTATTTGTTGGTGAAAATACCTTAATAAATTAAGATTAGGTTAGCACATTAATATATTATTTTAATATATTAATACATTTATGTAAGATTTCATATAATTTGTTTTAGTTGTTCGGATTGATTTAGTTATTATAACTCTTACGGAAATTAAAAGATCTTCATCCCGACGTAAATTTACCAATTATATAATTGAATAATACAGTAACAAAACTAATTACGGATATAGAATGTACCATTTTATAATTAAAGATTAGTATGGAAGAAAACAGAAGTTAATGAATATAACATGCAAAGATTTACAAAAACATATAAAGATAGATAAAGGTGACATTAGAATCATATATCACTTATCAATAACATTAAATCATAAATATAAAAGATTAAAAAATGCATTTTAATAAACAAATTATCAATTATTAAAGCAGATAACTAACATCAACTAGTTATCATAGTAATGAAGTAGAAAATAAAAATTTAATAGTAGTATTATCTGAAAAATTAAGAATTAATAAAAAGGAGAATTACAGAAAAAAATTACAAAGATAATTAATGAAATATAAAGAAATATAGATGATTTCAGCACAGCAAAAACAGGAAATTTAGATTCTAGTAATATAAGAGTACAAAACTTGACACGAAGTTAAAAACATAAATTGGGTAGAAAATGTTGACCTATAGTAAATTTTTGATCTTCTGTATTGTATAAACTGGAATTATTTTTAAAAACTCTACAGGATATACCATTATCAAATTATAGCATCAAAAATATTAATTAATGGATTATTGAAGGAAAAAGTAAACCTATCTTATCAAAAGATGAGTTTGGATATTAAATCAATGCATCCTTGATTAAAGAAGCATTAAACATGTATAAAGTTCCAGATTATATAAAAACTGATCAAATTTACATTTTTAAATAACTTTTTTATTGTTTTAAACACATTTTACATGCTAGTAGATGGAATAACGATTGGATTGGAACTTCATTAAAAGACGAGATATAGAACAAATGTCTAATATTTGTTAAATGGATATCCTAAGAAACCTTTTAAGAAAATGTATGATAAACATCTTTTACATAGACTTAAAGTTAAAATATACCCAGTCTTTTCAATATTTCCAATTTCCAAATATCAAAGATTTATTTGAAAAATATAATAGTGAATTTAACAAATTTTCCATAGCATTGGATCCTCCTCAAAAGAATCTCTATTCTTTTGTTTTGAGAAGCAAAGAACCATAAAACAGCTAGAGTAGTTGACAAGATATTTTATACAGTACATGTGAAAATCAAACTAAATATATAGGAGAAAAAGAAAGCACCTGGCAGCTTTCAGAGTAGGTATTGTGTATAATATTTACGTTGTAGTGAAACAAATTGTAACATCAATAGTAATAATATAAAAATTTTGTCTAAAGAAAAGATTGCTATTAAAAGAAAAAGAAAAGAACATTTTTCAATGGTAAATAAAGATAATATAAATAATTACATTAATATTAATGAATGTTGGGATAGATTTGTAAACTATAATTACAATTATATAAACATTACTAGTGCATTCTTATCCAAATTATTTTTCTTTGTGTAATGTTATGATGACAGATAAGGCAAACCTTTCAATATCCAGCACTATTTTAATGATAAGTAATGTTTTTGATCATATTTAATAATTTTCAGGTTCAAATTTCAGAACAAAACAATAGAATATTGCATGCAGAGATATTATTCTATCATTCTGTAGATTATAATTTATGTCGTCTGGGCGTGGTATTCTGTTAAAGCATTAAATATGATTGAAAAGCTTAATTACCACTATATTTCTGTTGAATATTTAAAAGTTTGCCTTGTTATTAGTGGGTGATCGGTTAACAAACATAATCCGTTCTAAGACTTTGTTCGCTATCCGAATTGTTCGTTAACCGATTATCGATTTACCATAGGTTTCTATGGGAATTTGATTCATTTGTTCTGGAGACTCCCAAAAAAATAAAAAATATATACTTTCTTACTACATTTATTCATATGTAATTATAAAAATACATATATACACGGTCTTGCATATTTATTTGTCATGTTTTTTCCGTTTGTGGGGGTTAAAGAATATGTCCAATGTCGATTGCTTTTCTGTCTTCTTCATGATTTTTCAGAAGTAATTAATAGCATTGCAACTGTAGAGATCCCTAAGCCTATTAACCTCAACTTGGTTTGGATGCCATTTTAAGACCGTTGTTCTGACATCCTCCCACTTCATCAAAAGATCTTTAATAGCAGATATCGGCATAAATCCGCTTTTCCAGAAGAACACGTAAAAGAATTGTTTCTATCAGAAATATAAAAGGCTGGAATTACAAAGGAGAATTTCAGGGAATACAAAGGAGAAGTTTGGGGAATACTATCTGATCAGTACATACTAGATTGAACATCAATGTCAACATCTCCCATGCTCCGAAAAGTTTTGAATTGTTGCCTGAAGACAAAGGAAGACCAATCGATATTCGTTATTTTACGTCGCTTCTTCTTGTGTTTGTTCAGTGAAGTGTTCGTTGTCCGATCATAAAAATCTTTCGCGAAAGTGTTTGTTATCCGATTACCCACTGTACTTTCTTTTATCCAGATTAGTGCTTGCTTTCTACAATGTGTACTACGTTAACAACTCAAAATTGTTATTTTAATAGTTAAATTGATAATTTTAATATGTCTACAAGAAAGAGTTGGAAGATCAAGAAAGAATTGATGAGGATACTAATCAGATTACAACCTGGTTTCTTACAGAATAAGTAATGTAGACATCAAATTGGCATGATTCTCACATGTCTATTTTTATGCACATCCCTGTATAGAATAAATTTTCTTGTATACAGTAGAACTCCCTATAACACTATAGATAATTCCATGTTATATGAATTTCATGTTGTACGAATCACTTAGAGTTTACAAATACATGCGGTGGGCTGCGTACGGCTCACATATTTATAAAATCTAAGTGAATCGTACAACATGAAATTCACATAACACGGAATTATCAAGTGTTATAGGGGGTCTACTGTATTTATTAAATTATTCAAAAATTTGACAAAAGTTGATGCATAATTATTAAATTTTTACTATAAACACAGGTGTCCAACAAGTTACATGACTGTTATTTGTTTTTGTAAAGGAGATAACTGAGATATATTCTATGTCAAAACATACCTTGTAGTTTACTTATCCACAACATCATTATTATTTCCATCATAAACACAGCAGAGTCTGATATGGAAAGATAAATTGCTCCTACCAATGCCTTCTCTTCTGCTGTCTGGTATAGTTGTTGAGTGACTTTCTTCTTGATGAAGTCCCAAAAAATGATGTTTGGTGTTGTAAGGTTGCAAATCCTGGGTATTTGGAACATATCCAGGAGAGGAGTGGTGCTGGGTATGCTTCAGATACTTGGCTAATCTGTTTGGAAACAGACAAGCACTTGTGACTTGATTTGTCAAGAAAAAAGTCAATCAACACTGCTATTAGACAGCTGAAGAGTTGAAAAATGCAGTGATAAAAGCATTTGCTCTTCTCACCTGATAATCTCCACAAAACATCTCAGCAAAATTGATGATGTATCATGCTTCTAAGATCATAATGGAATTCATGTCTGGACAAGTAAAATATAAGATATGTTCTGACAAATATGCCTTGGTTTTGCCTTTACAAGAACAAAAATTTGATTATATGACAATGTATAGAAAAAAAATGTATAAATATTTATAGTACTCAGGTCCTAGCCTTTATATGAAATGATTTCTCTGTTAAAACTTTATATGACAAAATTATGTTGAATTTTATATTGTAAATGTGAAACAAAACTTTAAATTAATAAATTACTTTGTATAGAATGTATACTTTTTATTTTAGATACAGAAAATGGATAATTGCCTATCATACTGCCTATTTAGATGGAAAAGATTCTGCGCATTAAAATAAAAACTATAAATTACACAATGACCATCTAAAATATATTATTATTAAATATTTCAACATAAAATAGAACAGACAACTTCCTGAAAGAGTTGTCTATTCCTTATATATTAAAAAGGAAAAAAATTTGAAATTATTAAAGTTAAAGGAGTCAATATTTAATTTGATTAAATGCTTTTTGTTATTTTGCCTCATGCAATGTACTTGTATTTTACTTTTTATTTGTACTTTTTAATCTTATTTTTACATAATGTACATCTGAAATATTAGTTTAAAATATACAGTATCTAAAAATTTAGAACTTATGCTATTGGTTGGTTTGATTTAGAAATTTATAAGTATGACAGTTGACAGTTGTTCTATTCATACTATTGTAATCTCAAATGAAGTTGATCTGAAGATGGGATGGTAAAAATCCCAAAATTGCTTAATCAAATTAAATGTTTTTGAATCCTTTACTGATTGAGTTGTTTTCATTTTCATTTTTAAAAAATGGACTATAATTCAAATATTTTTCAATTTATGAGAATTTCAATTTGAAGGAGTCAATGGGTAGATTCCAGTATGCATCAAACAACAAATTGGTAAACCATGATGTACTAAAAAGTGTTCCCAGCAATCACTATCTAATTCATTGGTGCAGCAACAGATAAACAAAACTCTCACTGAGCTGAGAATATGGTGAGCTCTGATGGAGCAATATAACTGTCTCCATGTTTCAGTACATCATTAACACCATTTTTACTCCTAGTCTGTATTAAACCAAAGTTATTTTGACAAAATAAGTCTGCAAACACCAATATAGCAACATTTCCACCATCTTCTTAGGTTGCCAGATAATCCAGTAAAAGCTTATTAAACTATAGACTTACTTCTAGTATAAACCAAAACGGTGCTTAAATCACTTTAATTTCTTTCACTAACGTTTTCGAACCTTTTGGTTCTTCTTCAGGTGAAAAACGGGCAAATCACCGTTTTGGTTTATACTAGAAGTAAGTCCATTGAAGTTACGATGTGTATTGGAAGTAGTATTGCTTATTAAACTGATCACTGGTGCATTGGTTGTGGCTGTTACTAATACATACTGGAATGTACCAAATATTTAATATTACATGAAATGTATTTTTTAGATTTACACATCTCAGCCTGAGATCTTATTGATTCCTTCACTTCCTTAGTGCTTTGCATTGTTTAATGGTATTCTATAGAGTTGGTAGGCATAAAGAACAAAATATCAAATATATCAGCTTAAATATAACTGAAACTAAAAATCTGGTCACTCAAGACCTTAAAGATTTGTTTACATCAAAGTTCCAACATCCAATTTTCTCTCTGTATATTATTCTGTAATGGTAGTATGATTTCTTACTGTATAACCAGTGATTGACTTGAACACAATATGGCAACTTTGTCTATCTTCAGTGCTAAATTTATTTGTAATTAATTTCTGATTAGCTAATCAGAAATTAATTACAAATGAATTTCTCTATAGAATACCAACTCTATAGAATACTAAAGGATAAGCCAGTAAAAATATGCAAAACTGACTAAACATTCCAATAGGAAATCTTAATACTTAATATAATTATTAAAAATTAAATCATACCTGTCAAATGCCTTTACTCTTCCTAATAATTTTTTGTTATTTCTGCAATTAATCAGGATTTGTGTATTATTTTTTACAGACTGTGTGAGAACTGACAAAGGCCCAGTGTTGAATTCCTCTTCCTCTCGTTTTGCCAATTCTTCAGGTGTCATGTCAGATTTTGGTTTCTGTAGCAATCTAAACAAATATAGAAAATCTGAATTAAATAAATAATCACACAAAATATCTTTCCAACAATACACAATTGTATAAACTACAAGTACAATGTACAAATGAATTGTGCTATGACACTTTCCACAAAAATAAAGTCGGTACTCTTGCCAAATAACCCTACACATTTTCTATGTATGCTTAAACACTTATGCAACCATTTTTAATGAATCAAAAAATGTTTAAGCATGTTTAAAAGGCTTTAATTATGTTTTAAATAAGTAATGTTTGATTCGTTTTCCTGAAAATACTGTCAAAACTTTGTTTCTAGTATTCTAAAGGTCATGCATAAGTCTTCCTGTTCAGTACACCCTACTTTATTCTCTAAATGAGTACAATTTAAATAAATGTAAGTATGGTATCTACGAGTCAACACGCACAAATAGCAAAATTAAAGCAACAATCAACATCGATGAACTGTTTGGTTGTTCTACTCACAATTCCTCAGACTGGAGTGGAAATATAATTCAAAACCTCTTAGAAAACTTTCTTAAATAAATCTCACCTTTAGATAAATTCTGAAGAATTATCCATCTGAAATAATCTGGAAAATTAGTACACTATCTTATGATAATTATGTCACGCATCAGATTTAAAACTGGAGAAACATTTAATAAATGAACAGAATTAGTGATGATGTTCCAAGCGTTCAGATTCCAGAACAGTTGACCTGATGAAGATCCAGATGGAGGACTGAAAACATTAGTCATTCTAAATATGAGAAGTTACTGAAGATTTATTTAAGAAGGTTCTCTAAGAGGTTTTGAAATTGGTTGATTGTTGAACAAATGATATGGCCAGATTAATTAACAACATAGATACTATGTAGTGTGAACTAAACATATGCAGTTAAGGTTTCATTTTGTATAAAATTTAGTAACAATAATTTTTGAATTAAACTGAGTAATTTAATATATTCTGGAATAAAAGCTGAATCCATAGTAAGTCTAATTACACATTTCTTTAATCTAATGATAATTATTTAGATGGTCAGAAAATGTTTAGGCATCAGAGTGTTGTGAGAGTGAGAGATTTATCTACTAAATGTTATCTTGATAACATTTAGTAGATAAATTAGATGAAAATGTACAGGGTTTAAACAGGAGTAAAGGTAAATACTCTAATATCCTGTTCGCACCGAGCATTTCAATCTACATTGTGACCAAGGTCAGTAACTATGCTGTGGTGCGATCTCTCTCGACTGAAACGAGGTTCAATTGGGATCAACTCAAGATAGTTCTTGAAACTAGATCCAGTCACAAGAGAGATCCCACAATCCCACACGTGAGAGAAAATACAAGATGGCTGCAAAACATGTGTCGGGCTACCAACAGAGAAATGAAAAAGACATCTGGAGAGACGATGATATCTGTCTATTATTAGATACATAACAAGAAAAAGTATTTATTTTTAACCAAAACTTCCATTTTGTTTGTTGATGTTTGTGACTTACCGCTTAGTTATGTCAGTTTTATCATCACGTGTAGTACCCGGGTTCTTTTCAAGCGGACGGCCTGTGTGAACAGCACGATGTTTGACTGGCGACAGTCACAATCCTGATTGTAGGTAAATCGAGATCGAAGTCATTCGTGGATTGTGTGCAAACATAGAGTAAGAGGTAAATATTTGGGGTACATATGTGAAAATGTTTATGCTCAACCTTCAAATGACTACAGGAATCTACCATCTCTTGGTATAACCGCATCTTTCGTCCATCCCCATACACAGCTCATTATCCTCTACAAAGCTCAATGATCTGTGAAAAGGATCACATTATGTCCATTGAAGTCCATTTTTCAGAAACCATTGATTTCCAGATATGGGTCCTTCTGGGCATTTTTATTCCTCTTAATGCAAGGAATTATCTGAAAGAATTACCATTCTCCTGTAAAACAAGACTTAATTTAATTTGCACACTGTTATAGAGAACATTTCTCAATTCTGCATTTGAACAGTTGACTATCTAAAAACTGGCTAACAGGGACTGCTAAAATGACTTCTAAATGACAACATTTTAGAAAATGTTCATAACAACATTTAAGAATATTAAAATTTGTGAATTTAAATGGAAGGAAGCATACAGATAACGGTTATGTCATAGTTTACTTTCATAAAATAAAAATAAGTGTTTTTGGTAATATTTAGGTGGTTATCAGTTATCGGGTCCTTTTAAAATCATCACATTGGTAAAATAAAAAAAATAATAATGTATTATGAATGTACTTTTATTAAAGAGCTATAAATAATAAATAATGCATTATTTTAAAATTTTATTTCAAGTATTTTTTACACAGATTTATATACTGAAAATATCTTTTGTCGACTCAGCAAATTTTTTTTTTTAGTGAAGTAATAAATATTTTGTAAAAAATTCAATTTTAGAAGTGCTTATTTGCAACGTAAGTTGAATAGAATATTCTGGGGTATTTGACTATAAAAGTTTATTTCAATATGTTAGAATACCTTTTTGAAATCTTTAGTGCACCAGCTGTTTTCCAATCAATACAGTTAAGTTTTATCAGGAATAAACCAAGTTATATAGTATTTTCAAAGACGGCATCCTAATTTTAATCGAAAATAGAGCACTAGCTTTTCACACGTGTGAATCACAAATAATTCTATTTATGAACATAAAATCTAAACTATATTTATTATTTGGAGAACTTTGATATCGATATTTCTGTAGCAGAAATATAGTTTTCTAGATCAATTTCATAAAAGTGATTAAATTCTAGAATTACTTTAGTACACTTTATTACAAGACATTCTCGAAATTATTCTTAAAAGAAATTGTATTTATCCCTTCTCGTTCCATTCTAAGGAATACCAACCAATAAATACATAATTATTTTTTATTATAATCAAGCTAATTCTTAAAAATTGTTCATTATTATTATTAAGAAAAATCGATATCGCAATTATTTCATGTTCCAACGATAAAATAGCATGCAATCATACACACATATTCAATATTTTACATGTATTTTATACTGTTATNTATTTCATTAAATTTTATATAGTTTATGCATTTTATTATATTTATTTCAGAATTTCTTATATGTTTTGTTTCTACTTAAGGTATCATAAAGAGATAAAAGTTTTAAGGGAGAGTGAGGTTTGTCAGACGTCTAAAGAATGGAAGGGATTATAAAAACTTAGATAAACAGGGACAAGAGAAAAAGGAGAGTAAAAATTTCAAGAAAAATGCAGATGTAATTTACAGACATTTTCTAATAGCAAATTCATTGTCACATAATTACCTTCCAGTTGGCTCGCATAAGACAATTAGCAAGCCACTATACACAACTGCAAAGAAAGAACATCAAATTTCGCAGATAGTACCGTTCAAAAAAATTTATGGAATAGTAAAAATACAGATTAGAAAGTAAAGTGACGATTTTAAAAAAACCCAATAATCAATAGACCACCTAAATATTACTAAACGCACTTTTTATTTTACAAATTTAATCTACAACATTATCCGAATAACTTCTAAATAGTACGTGCAGGAATTTTCCAACAACTCTATACTACTACTAAAAATTTATAGTAAATATCTGCTTTATTTTCTGAATTTACTTACGAGCAGATAAATACTCCCTAACCTTGACGTTCTCACAGCAGACAGACGACAGTCCAGAAAAAACAAATGCTTTCAGTCTACATCCAAGACCCGCTTCAGCACCTTATATACAAATGCAGCTCTAAATAAGAGACTCTTGGCATCTTAACAGAGCTGTAGATCATGCCCATGGAATAGAAGAGTCAAAGGAACCAATGCTTTACATGTCACCCTTTGCAAGATGTACCCAAAACTTTGGAGGTGAATATCTCCCCAAGGTTCATTATTGACTGATTTGATTGTCTACGAACATAAAATTTGGGGTTCCAAACCCTTCGATCAGAACTGCAATTTTACCAAAGACCATGTCACCCAATTTAGCCACAAAACAAATTAAAAAGAACACATAATGGGGTAGTAACATTTGATATATTATCACAACGCTTATTAAATTTTTGAAAACATAAGTCATGAAAGAAAATTCATTCTTATTGTTTAAACAGCACGAGCACATGCCATAACGCACGTGGACCTATCATCGTAGAAATTGATACATTTTAAGATATTTATAAATACAGCGATTAATTTAGATGCATTACAGATACTTACGAAGACATTTTTAGCTGTCGTCGGCAAAAATTCAAGTAAGAAGAACGAAAATCACTAATAAAAACAATGTCCGCCCAACACACGTTCAGAAATCGTTTATGGACGACAGCGCCACCTAAAATTTAAGATTAAATTAATCATTTAAGTTTAAACTTCAGGTGGCGCTAATAAAATTAACAATTTTAATTATCTACGCGATTCTTCGAGACGAAAATATTCACAAACATATTATAAAACCAATAAAACAAATAGTTTATGCTTTTACTGCAAACTTTTCGAACTTTACAATTACGAACATGGAATTAATGAGTGGTGAGATCTTGCAATGCGCCTGAATCGTCACGAGAAAAATTTAAATAATTTTAAAAATTAGACCAAAAAATGGACAAAATTAATTATATCCTTAAAAAAGTCAGCAACGAATTGTTTAACTTTCATGGCAAAATCTAAAACTGAGTGTAGCGTCATATGATATTTCACCAAAAATCACCTTTATTTTCAATTATTATAAAATGGCAAAAAGCTTAATTTTGAAGGGACGAGTTTTATAAAATAACCGTAAATAATGAGTAAAATCGTCATTAACTCCGACTCTATTGGAGATACACACGACCCTCAATATCTCCTCACCCCCTTGATCTCTAGCAATCGAAATTTATTAGCACGGGCAAAAACTAAGGCGGAGAGAAGCGAAGCGGTATTTACTTCATTTCGAGGGGTTGAGGAGGTAGCGATGGAGTGTTTATGTCTCACCTTTCTTCCGGTTCCGCCATCTGAAAACGGCGGGAGGTTGCTTTAATTAGAGGTAATAGATAAGAAGAATTTGAAATTATTTTGAGGGCAAAAATAGTATATAGTATCTGCGGATAAGTTTACAGGAGGGTGGGGACGGAGTGTGGCTCGGGATCCAAATAACGTGATGTTAGAAGATGTCCACTTAAGAGAATAGGAGCCCTTCTTAAAGGCGATAACGTAGGTGAATGTGGTCGAGGGCAGGAGTTGTGTCAATAAATAAAGTTTTATTACAAAAGATGGATTATCTTGATTTTGCTTGAAAACGAGAAGGAGAAATTGTTGGTCAAAACAAGTTAGGACCGCAGCCCAAATGTGAGTTGTTGTCTCCATGTGGATACCAAGGAAAAGTAAGGAGGACTGTTGAAGCGTTGGAACCTGAGGGCAGTAGCGTAGCGTAGTGGGGGCGGCACTTTTTAGGAGGCGGCAAAATTACGTTTTAAGGGGCGGAAAAATTTCACAATAAATAATAATAATATCTTGTAAGAAATTGAACCATTCTATTTCATATTTTCGTCCACCTACGACTCGGACCGATTGAAATGAGCACGGAATACCATCCATCCGGATAGTCCGGGAATCGACTCGCTTTCCGGGGATATCATGCGCAACCTGTTGACCTTTTTTTTTGCATCACGATTTATTCGTATATATAGCCTATACACCTCCAATATCCAATACAGCTAGGTCACTTGCGTTACTCCTATCCAAGTCTCTCTAGTCGCTAACTGTAACTGATTTAGAACCAGCATGAACTGCACATTATTCTTCGCATTGCAAAATGACATACGCATGAATCAGGAACTTCTATTCGAACAAACCTCACCTGCCGTCCGGGTCAGCGATTTTAATAAGGTGACAACACTAGCACGGAATTTTTCATTACTTACTCTGTGACGAGAATTTTAGTCTTTTAAATTGAGATACCTAAATAAGGGGGGAGCGAAATTTTCCTCCGCCCCGGGCGGCTGACACCCACACTACGCCACTGCCTGAGGATGTGCTCTGGATATATGTGATGGTAAGTTGGAAAGTTCCCCCTCCCAGGAGCAGTTGAGATCGACAAAAGGGCACGATAGAGGTTTAAACGGGCAAATGCGTTGGTGAGTCTTACATTCGGTTTCCAATAGTAACTCCGGACATCTGTGCTGTTTATTTATTTATTTTTTTTACTCTTTCCGCCCTGTGGGCACTAAGAGGGCCTCTTTTTGCAAGCCCATTATGGGTTCGGCCAGGCCCACAATGGGGCTGCCGGGTGGTGAGGGACGGGGCCCGACATATCCGAACGGACCACCCCCGAAAAATTCCTGGGGATTTTTTCGACCCGTTCGGATTCGAACCCGGGTCCCCCAGAGCGGTAGGCTGCCATCTTGACCGCTGTGCCATCCGGCCGCCATCCGTTCTGTTTATAAGCAGAGCGTAGTTGCAACGAGGAAATGAACTATTATACGATGAGTCTTCGAATATGGCCGAGAGTCTCACGGCAGGTATGACAGGTGGAAATCCGTAGTCGGAACTGGTCGAAATTTTGAACGCGAAAACGTGTACGTCGGAAGTACAGCGCCGCTTTCCTAGAAGTTTGACAATAGTGTTTGGAATATAGAGCGTGATTCCACTGACTATCCAAACAACATTGTCAAACTTCTAGGCTTACAGAAAAGCGGCGCTGAACGTCCGACGTACACGTTTTCGCGTTTAAACCTTTGGCCGCAACCTCTCTATTATCTGTCTGCATTTCGGGAGATAACGTTTGGAGTGTCTGTTGATTAAGGAGAGTTTGAATTAGTTTTAATTCGGTTTTGTTGATGATATTGTCGATTGGCGGAATAAAGAAGTGGCAGTTAGTTTCGATTTGGATGGTTGACCGTCGTTGGAAATGAGAGGTTAGGATAATTCCTGGAAGATAACCCACTCATGTTTCGGGAAGACTTAATATGCCCGTGTTATTTATTTTAGTAATCGTAATTGGTGGTTGTGTGTTTCGATTTGTAGGGCATTTATGGTCAAACTCATTGGAGTGGGCACCGAGTAAGTCCAAGTTCCTCGATTGTCAATCCGGTGAAAAATCGGTGGGTATGACAGTATTAGACGTCGAGCACATAAGTGATTGACGTCTAATACTGGTTATTTTCCCTCTCCTAGGTACAGAGCTCTGTCTCCGTGATTGCCGTATGGGAACGTTGGGTGAACATATAGCGATGGGTGTTGTTTGGCATTTTGCTAAATCGTAATAGTGGAGTAGCATATAAGATTGGCGATTTCTTGACAAAGTAGTGAGAGGATATGAATTATTATAATAAGCGAATGCTTGGATTGTTGGATAATAGACTAGTAATCGTATAATCTCATAGATGTCGAAATATCCTGTGGGTGTGACAAGAAGTATTTTTGTAAAAATGCGAAATATTCTTCGTAGCGCTATGGCGGTTATCGAGGTCCATTGATAATATTTGAACATAGTTTCCATCGTGGAGATTCCAAAAAGGAATATCCTTCTGGCAGTTGATGCTGTATTTCCTTGAGAGTGGTTAATAATACTTCCTTTGGGAGAAAATAGGTACTAAACCAGCCAGTTCTGGCGAGGCGTGAACCCACGACCGAACTACCAGTGTTCAGGGAACGGAAAGGTTTACCATAAGTAACTCTGTTACACCGTAAACGACATTAAGTAAGCGGTTAATTTGCATATCCGCTCGTGGAAAATTTCGTTATAATTACCCTTAAAATTTATTCATTTTTAGAAGATCGGGTAGAAGATCTCTTCCTAAGCGTACATCAATATCTGAATATAATTATATAATCATTTTAATTAATTTTGTATGAATAATAACAAAAACGTTACTTACATTTTACAGCAGGTTCATGTATGTCCATGAAGCATGAATCTTAAAATAATCTGTATTCTGGAATTTTTTGCATACCTTTTTAATACGTATTTAATTGTGGCTCACGAAAAATTTCAAATTTTGAAAAATGGCTCGGACTATCAAGGAGCTTGGCCACCCTGGTCATAGAGTTTTGAGATGGACCCTTCCGATCCGTTACGAAATCGGGATGAGACAGTTGCTCAAGAGGGGCATTTAAGCGGTGTCACCTGACTGTTTTAATCGACAAAACTAATCGATGATAACTTTTTTATCCCCGCTAATATAGCGTGAGATTTTTAAAGTTGTGAAGTTACGGTAATCATTTATTAAAAAATTACGATTATATCTTTTATTTCAATCAGTTTTTCACTTTCAACGCCTTTTTATATTTATTTTATTGTACTTTGATTCGAAAAAGGAAATAAATAAACACATCAGCTTTCATTTAGTTCAAGTTTCAGGGACCAACAGCGGTTTCGTTTGTAATTGGAGAAGAAAGTGTTTTCTTTCACGGTCAGTGTAGAGTTTGTTATTTTAGCCGTCATTCGTCCCATTGCTATTATAAACAAGCTTTTAATCGTAAATAAAAGATCCGGCTTCCGTTCCGATGTCATTGGTGCTATCTATCCCTTTAAATGTTTTCTCTTCTTCTGTATGTTCAACTATTAATTTTCCAATATCTTTTAATATTGCACGAGACATCTTCATAATTTCCGCTAATCCAATAATAATTCCGCTAATAAATGTAATATCGCTCTCAACGATGTTTATGTCCATTTTGTCATCTGCTTTTTGTTTGTCTTTTTTCCCGTTAAGTATAGCCTCTCGTTTCCCTGTAAAACAACTAAGTCTTGTAAGAAAGTCGAAGCTCTCTAATAAATTTATAAATTTATTAATTTCTAATAATCATATTAATTACTAACTTCGACTTTTTTGCAAGACTTACATGTTAGTTGTTTTATAGGAAAACGAGAGGCGACACTTAACGGGAAAAGTTTTACATGAAAATCTTCTCTGGGAGGATTTTCAATAGAAAATGGGAAGTACGTAAGTGTTAGGTGTTAGAGAGGTAAAGAAATCCCGGTAAACTACAAGCGGCCGGCACGTTAGTGAGGTGCGAACCCGCGATCTCACTATCGGTTTATTGATGGGCCATATTTCTTTACAATGTTCATTTCTCAGATGATGCAATATTTTGTAAAGTGTATTTTAATGTTGGCAAAAGAACTTTATGATTAAACAGAATAATATATAGCACTTCAATATTTAGTATTTATATAATACTCAATAACAAACAATTCAACAGTACTGTACATGTAAGGAGAAATTTAATATCATTTACATACATATACTTTCATAAAATGTATAACATTGAAAATCGAATAGATTAAAAATAAATGAAAAGTGCAATCTTAGTATCAGAAATCGTTGTGAAACCATGTTTAAAGACGTAACTTTTAATTTATGATTTATTATCATTAAAACGTGTAATTACGTAGATATATTTTTTAAATATTCCTTCCCCATGGCCATTAAAAACGGATTTCTTTTGTAGGAAGTCCATTCTGGGTTCTGCCAGGCCTACATTGATGCGGCCGAGTGGTGAGAGACGATGTTCGACATATCAGGATGGACCACCCCAGAAAAATTCTCAGATAAATATTTATCGCTCTGGCGACGTTTTCCAGATCCCTCAGAGTGGTATGCCTTCACCTTAGCTGTTCCGCCACCAACCCATTATATAGATATTTACAGAGTAGTCCAAAACTTAGTTAACCACTGTAAATAGTAAATTAATTAATATCTTATTCATATACTTTGCGAAATTGTTCAAATTACAATGCATTGATATATTTGCAAAAATTACTGAATTGTTTGATTGAATTCCGAATTACATTGTATTTCGCGTGATGTTATACGCTAACAGACTGTCGAAGAAAGTATTTCGCAATTACAATCTCAGATATTAAACAAGATATAGAAAGTAAGTATCCAATAAAAAGAAGAATTATAGGACTGAGAATATCATTCACTTTTAAAGGTTCCACGTGAGCCGAATCTTCAGTCACTTCGAAGTCTTCTAAACCCAAATCTTTATATATTAATCCGGTATCAAATAAACGAAATATACTAAAATTATATAATTTGATTAGTAATAAATTGTAAGTGATTGTAATGACTTAATGGGAAAACATTGCTTACATTTTATCAAACATTGGTCTATGGATGAAGCCTTTCTTGAAAACGTATCCTTTGGTGTACGTTACAAAGGAATCTTCAGATAAGATAAAGTTATCGTATCCGTACTTTTTCATTAAGGCAGTAATGGAAAATTCATCTGAAATATACGCAAACTTCTCTTTGCGTACTCTTTCGAACCCATTCTCTGCACTGAACAAGTAATTATTCATTTTTATATTATCAGCAATTATTTTATATGGTCCGAATTTTGACTTCTGTAACGATAAAACACGAATTAGCAAATGTAAACAGTAAAAAGTACTTTAAGTAATTAAACCATTTTAACATTATTTTACAAATATGTTTAATCGTTCTTACAGAAAGAAACGAAAATATGGCTGCTCCATTCGAACATCCACAAGAATACTTTCCATCCTGAACCGCTTCGGCTAATTTTTCTATGGTTCTTGGAACATGTTCCATTATAGGAGAGGTCATAAATGACATGAGAACTCCACTATAACTAGCTATCAATGGTACTACACCTAATAACCAAATACAGAAAATGATTCTGGATGGAAATCGGACTACGGATTTCAAGTCACCGTCTGCAATACATAAATAATTTGGATGAATTATTTTAAATGAAAAATTTAATATAAAGTATAAATCCAATAAATCCAAACATTCTGTGTTGTTCTGGAAATTTAGAGTTGTAAAAGTTTCATACGAAGCTCAGTTCTGTAGGTTTCATTAATTGAATTTCAAAGATATCTTCATAACAAAGTACTAAGTAACATTCGAAATGAAACCTTTACAATATTGAATTTTACGAAAAAACAGAAGTGTACAGCTCTATATGTAAACATTAAAAAAAAGAAAAAAAAAAAACGTTTATTTTTACCTTTAGTTCTAAAAATGTTTATATAGAACTCTTCAAAAATCCCAAATATACAAATCTTCACTTCAAATGTTATTCGGTGTTTCGTTACGAAAGTTTTTCAAAATTTAATTAATACAATGCAAAAAATCTAGTAATGAGTTGTGTAACTTTCCCGGTAGTTATGAGATTTTATTTTAAAAACAATATATTATTAATCATAATAAATGAAATTCTGTGTGGCATCATCTGATATAAATTTTTAATAACAAAGTATCATATTATTAATTATTATAAAATGGAAAAGAAGCTTCATTTTGAGAGCAGTAATGAATTTTATAAAAAAAATGTAAGTGCTAAAAACTAGTAAAATCTTCATTATGTCCGATATCTGTTTGTCCTACTATGACAGATGGCACCTATCTATCGCCTCACCCTCTTGACCTTAAACCACCAAAATTTAATAGCACTAATCATGGCCCCTCATCCTACAGTAGAGCCCCAGACCAGGATCATTGGCAAGCACCCTCTCCTTCCCCACACTTAAACCCGAGACTTTACTGACGTGAGGCGAGAGACCTAACCTCTCGGCCTCCGCGGCCGGTTTGGAATATGATAAGGCAGCTACATGACAAAAAAATATTATTATTATTCACAAATTAAGTACGCATTTACAAAAACATTGATTACATTCATTAGAGATAATAAAGGAATTACAAAAGCAATTTTCTGGCTTTTGCCAAAGCAAATTTTTCGATCACGTCATTAAAATTTTTGTTTATCTATCAGATATATCATTTTCAATGCACAAAATTGGTAGGTTATTTAGTCGCTCCTGACCAGTTAAGTTTCATTGCCACGTCTTCAGTGAATTTGCCAGTTTACTGGAAGACCTCTCAAAGGAAGGAATACGGACCGGCACTGTACAAAACAGCTAAATTGAGAGACTAATATTTGCAACTAAAACCTTGAAGTTTTTTTTATCATAAATTGCACTCAGAATTTCAATTGGACTTTCTTCAGTGCCATAAACTGTCTTATAAATATTCTTAAAATGAAATATTTCATGGATTAAGTCTTCTGTCAAATCACTGTCATATGCATTAATAAGTTTTGCGGCATTTTCGGAAAGTTCACTTACACCTAAGTCTTGAAAATTTAAATAATTTACATACCACATTTCCAGCTTCACAAATCTTATTATGTTAATAATAGTTTAATTAATATTCTAAGCTACTACGTGAAGAATTAAATATTCCAATGAAATTAAACTCAATATTCCGCAAGAAAATCCAAGTAAAGCAAAAAATACAAGCTGGCCATTTTCATACCGAGCCCCCATGAAACCGGGATCCGTGACTACAGTTACTACCATGTGTGGGCCATGGCACGAATTTCTTTATACACAGATACCGTGCCAAATTTTATTTTTTAGTTTTTATTCAACCCTGAGATACGAAATAGACCCCAACACACACACACGTCCACGGAATTTTTTCCTGTTATTTGAGTTTTTAGATTCAGGCATTTCAAAAACTGAAAACTTACAAAAGACACTAAGGGTCAAATTTAACACAATTTCAATACTTTTCTTGTGTAAACGTAAAAGCCGAAAAAGTAAATACTGTATTCAGTTTATTATGAAGTTTGTAAGTATTTAAGTCTGTAATAAATGAAAAGGAGGAATTTATTAAATCATACCCATGTTTACAAGTGTTCCAAATAGATACCAATAAAGTTTCGATTTTGTCCATAATGAGGGCTTTCCTTCCATGTTAACCTCTCTTTCCAAGACTTTTTGTAGTACGAAACCGAGAATGACAACTGTTATGAATATTGCTATCCATATCTAAATATTAAAAAATATATTAAACGATAACAAAAATACCGTAAATGTAATAAATATGAATATTTCTTACTTCAAAGGAAAAAGGTTTGATTAATGACATCCAGTCAAATATTGCTTCTGGTCGTTTAAGTACAAATAACACTCGCATGAACACGGTATGAGACGAGTAATCTACAACTTGTGATCGATCGTATGTCAAGAAAATTGTAACGAAACCCATGTCCGCTTTCTGAAATAATTTTTTCATTAATAAATAATTTCAGTTAATCAACAATCTACATGTAAACTAATATTATTACAAGTAAAATAAATATTAGAATTATTAGTGTAGGAAGATATTAGAGATGATATGTACAATACTGTAATCTGTTGATATAATTCAATACCGATATTTGCTAATAAATGAGAACGTGAGAGCTTAAAACATTTATTTTGTTCACTAACCATTTTAGAACTCTGCATAAAATTTTTCCGCCCTCTTAGTGCTCATATGAAGGAAAGAGTTAAAAAAAAGCAGCAAAAGTTAGTTAATCCGGTGGTCAATAATACAAAATGATTGATAATTCGGCACGTTTTGGAAATTATCCGATAAACCCGGAATTGTCTGATAGTTATTCATCATATTTTTACTTTTGCTAAACAAAATTGCTTTAGACGCCTGTTGCGCTAAAGGCTGCAGATTTAAATTGTAGTGAAGGTGGGTGAAACTCTTTGCCACATGATCGCGAGAGAGCGAACTTTATTTGTAATCCCCAGGAATTTTTCTCAACTCATCTCATCGACGATAGTGGAGTGTTATTGCTCTTCGCTTATCACTCCGGAAGGAACAGGGTGGTTGGTCGCACAGCGACCGAAGAGGTGGTCTTATCGAAGACGACCAATCCGAGGAAGATAGGAGAGAGGTCGCAAAGCAACCAAATCTGGCCTTATAGGAGACGACCCCCGCGAGAAAGGGAGACAGAATGCCGTCCGGGAGGACTTGGAGGGGAAGCTGGCCCCTATTCAGGCGTCATTGGCAAGGAGGAAAACCCGGAAAAACTCCTGCTGCCAGCTCGTCCGAGTGAGGCACGAACCCCCTATCGAACTCCGGTGTTTAGGGTCTGGTCCCAGGAATTTTTCGGGTGTGGTCCGTTCGGATATGTGGGGCCCGTCCCTCACTACCCAGCAGCCCCATTGTGGGCCCGGCCGAACTCATAATAGGCTTGTAAAAAGAGGCCCTCTTAGTGCCCACAGCGCAGAAAAAGTTTAATAAAAAGTTCTTTATTTGTGTCCAATCAGACCTCACTGAGGTCTGATCGGACACAAAAAAAGTACTTTTTTTTTACATTATATTAATATGTCGGCAATATAATATATCTCGGCATATAATATATGGAGTTGACGGCCAGATAGCCGAATGGTTAAGATGGCAGCCTATCGCTCTGGGATCAAAATTCGGTAAATTGAGAAACCCTCAGAAATTTTTAAGATAGTGGTCTGTCTAGATATGCCAGACAGACTCGATTCTTTCCCATCCGCCACCTTATTTGATCTTGGCCGAACCCATATTGGCTTGCTAAAGAAAGTCTTCATACTGCCCGGAGAGCAGAAAGACACGAATAAAAAACGTCTAGTAATTTCGATAATCCGGCTTGATCTCATAGGTGCCGGATTAACAAACTTATACTGTTCCGTAAAAAATCAAAAGCATATTTTACTTGGTTTACAAGTTGTCCAACCATTCCAGTTCTGGTTCCATTTTTGTCTTTACCATCGAATCTATTTGGAATCGGTGTAACGAGTTCGTATCTGCAAAACTCATTGTTATTAAATTTCTTATCATGTTATGAAATACAGTAGATTAAAATGACTATTATATACAGTTCAACGAAACTTTAAGAAACATTTTAAATACAAACTCTTTAAAATTTGATTATAAACGCATATTTTGATGAATATATTAATAAATTATTAAAATTAAATTTATTACATCGAAAATAACATGTATGAACTTGTTTGAAAAATCTGTCGCTTTCAAGTGCTTACCTTTTCAAAGCATCGTCAATAAATAAATTTATTTATTTTGATATTTATTTTAACGTGAATTCAAAGTTTAATCATTATTACAAACAAACATTTAAATTAATATGAATATAATATTTAAAATTAAAAAAAATGTTACTTATTTACCATTAAATTTAAATACAGTATGTTACGACATGTGATTTGTTAAACTTAAAAAAATTCAATAATTTTTCCTATATCAATATTATGATTGTGATGATTGTGACTCTAAGGGATGTCACCCAGTACTTAGAATTGAAAGACTGCGCTGGGGATTAACCGAAAGTTGAGAGGGAGAGGCAAACACAATTACTTTGCCCAAATGAAGATCTACTGAGACAGTAGCAAACTTTTCAACTGTTTCTAGCAACTATCATGTAATGTAAAATCCCGAGCGGCCAGTTACTTCATCTTTGAAGTCACTGAGATCGATTGTACAATTACTGACCGATAGCATTAACACTTTTGGGAAGTCCGAGATGAAGCTGTAGCCAGGACATGATCTCGGACTCCCCAAACAGCAAAACGAAGTTAGGCGGGCAACCTATATCAGTATCAATACTAGCATTGTGATCGTTTCACGTTATAGATTTTATTTTGGCAGGTTCACTAGAAGTCCACATTGTAGCCAAGATGAATGTTAATCGTTAGATATTTTTTATGTTTATGATATAAAAAGCCGAGAGAATCGGTGCATGTGTCGCTTTCTATTCTGGAAGATTGACAGTTAACTTGGCATATTTTTTTCCTCAAAGTTCTCTCGACCCTGAAAAATCGTATTTGGAATATATAGCAGAATAGATACCAAACTGATTTCTAAAAGTTCCTGAAGAATCAGTAGAACTATGTGAAAGATTAATTACTATTGAATTTATAAATTAATTTTGTATGTAATTTTTCTTACTCTATCTATGAAATAAATTAACGAGTTTCGTTGGGAAGGTATCATCAAGAAAACGCAATTTTAAACATCTACTGAATATGAAACGTTATAACAAGACAGCCCTTTAATCTGGAACCACAACGCTGTAGATATATTTACTGTATATTTACATAAAGTTTATAAATACCTTACCTAAATCCTATTGATTTCAATATTGTGTTAAAAATATTAAACAGTTGTCCATCAATAATTTTTCGTTCAGATTTATCTGTCTTCATATAAATTTCATTCTGAAGTAATAAAATTATTTATTAAAATTAGAACAAAGTATTTAATACTGAAAAATATAAAATTGCAACCTTCATTCCAGCTATCTTCACAGTTTTCGAAATATTATTATAGGCTGAAAAATATATATTTTAAGTAAGAAAATAAATATATATATAATTCAAAAATTTAACTAGATTAGTATGTAGCATTTGAAGTGGCTTTGGAGCAGAATATGAATAATTGTATTCATTTGTAGAGTTTCTATTTCTCAAGATGAGTATACAGTAATCCTGTTCAAAACAACCTTCTATATTAATTAAGGACATCTGCCTAAATGAAAAATATATTTTTGAACGAAACAATTTCCTGTAATTAATGAAAACATAACTAAGAAACATGTATAATGTGTGGCATGTGGATAAAACGTGTAAATACTTGCAGTTTGCTTTGGGTCCATTCTATGAAGCTACCTAAGTGGAATTTTCTGAGTTTTCTTTATGTATCCAACTCTTAAATAAATCTGTTGAAAGACAGTCTTCTTGGAAAGCTGTCCATGTGTTGCTTTGCATTGTTCGAAAACGATCAACCAGCCTAACACGAAGGAACGTTAAGCAGTTGATGACAACTTAAATATAACATAGTCTTACAGTTTAATTCTAAATAAAAATGAACGATAATTTATTACATAAGATCATAGTTGTGATTTTTAATGTTGAAAGTTGCAGTTAATTATTTTATTCATTGTCAAAAAACATTAGTACTTTCACTATATGGAAAACGGTTATAAAAATACAACATTGCTTTTCTTCCAAACTAACCAGAAAAGTTAATTAATATAACCCAAACCCCGTATGAAACGAAAATCTGCAACACAAGAAACTTTCGCTGAAGTTTTGGCCGGATGGTCGAGTGGTCAAGGTGTCAGCCAACCGCTCTAGGGACCAAAATTAAATTTGAACGGATTGACTGGTTTTATTGGTCAACGACAATGTGACACATGGGCGATCTACCAAGAAAGAAGAACCTCCCAGGAGATCATTTATGGAAAACTGGCCCTTATTTAGGTGTTAATTAATAATGTGAAGAAAACACGGAAATGTCACATGGCCAGCCCGTTGGCGCAGCGCGAATCCTAAACCGACTACTAGTGTTCAGTGGTTTTATCCAATTAGCTACTAGTTGACCACTGGACGGGTCGAAAAGGTCCAGGTTTTTCAGGTGGTGGTCAGTCCGAATATGTTGGGCCCTGTCCCTCGCTACCCGGCTGCCCATTGTGGACCTGACCAAACTCATAATAGGCATGTTAAAAGAATTCCTCTTAGTGCTCACTAGGCAGAAAGAGCTTTAAGCGTAAAGTTATATGCAAGCTTTATTTATTATTATTTAACTTTTTCCACTGTGCGCACTAAGACGTCTTTTTTTTAAGTAAACCCATTATGGATTAAGCCAGACCCACAATGGATGATTGGGTGGTGATGCATGAGCCTAACATATCGGGACGGACTGTCAATTGAAAAATCCCTGGCACTTTCTCGACCTGTCCGAATTCGATCCCGGATCTCCCAGAGCAGTAAGCTGCATGCTTAACCTTTTAGCCATCAATCATAAGCAAGCTTTATTGCATGAAAGTAGTTAATAATTAATACCAAAATTATACATTATTTGCTTAGTGTAAAATTTTTCAAGTTTGTAAAATATTAGTAGTAGTGGTGAAATTAACTTATAAATTTGTTAATTAAGTAACAGGACGACAAAAGTTTTATTATCAATACAGTTGACCCCCCTATAACACTGTTGATTATTCCGTTTTATATGAATTCCATGTTGTACGAGTCACTTAGATTTTACAAATACATGTGCCGGGCTGTGAACTGCTCACGTATTTGTAAAATAGGGGGGTCTACTTGTACTGAAATTAATTTTTTTGAAATTATGTTTTAAAATTAATTCTTTTCTCCAGTGATATTCGGGTACACGATCATTTGAAATAATATAATACAAATTATTTTGAAAATTTTTTTATTTTTACGTTACATCAATACAATTTATTTAAGTGTTTCCACTTTTTCTTTCAGTTTATCTATAGCATGACACATTTCTGCAAGTATGTGAAGGAATAAATTTTTACGATTGCTGACGATATATTCTCGATCTAGGTTTTGCAATTTTAAAATGTGACACCAAGAAAGTTGACTTTCGAACTCGTCAGTAAATTGTTGGTCAAGTTTTTGGTAACGGAAAACAAAATTCCAGTTTAGGTAAACTTGTAATTTGCGTAAAATGTTGGTATTTTAAAACTTGTTTTATATCTATGAAGTTAAATAATAAAATCATCCGAAAGAGTTTGATATTCGGCGATTTTATTCCAATCAAGATGATTCAAAAACCTCATTAAGAAATGTTTGTCTAATTTCTGTTATTGGCATATTAAATCCCATTTTGAGTAATCAATATGTTGTGTAACAAATGAGACAGTGAATTTGTAATTTTCCTATACATATTCCCAAATTAACTTATCCACGAATTATGAAATAAATGTGTGAGATAAATCGTTTCGGCAACTGATTATATCCCAATAAACATAATTTTTAAAAAAACGAATAATATTTATTACGTTTTTCTAATGGCAAAGACAAGAAAGTTTCCCAGTGGAAGGAGGGTTGCGTATTGTCTATAAAGAAATAAACAATATCTTTTATATGTATATATTTTTTTATTCTTTGTGCCCTGTGGGCACTAAGAGGGCCTCTTATAGCAGGCCCATTATGGGTTCGGCCAGGCCCACAATGGGGCGGCCGGGTGGTGAGGGACGGGGCTTGACATATCCAAACAGACCACCCACCAGAAAAATTCCTGGGGATTTCTTGACCTGTCTGGGATTCGATCCCGGGTCTCCCAGAGTGGCGGGCTGCCGCCTTGACCGCTCGGCCATCCGGCCTTCAATTCTTTTATACAGTACTAGTAGCTCGGGACGCCCCCTAGCGGGCGTTCTTTACAAATTTCTATGAGGCACGGTTCCTTTGACTTTTTTGTTCCTATCAATATGTTCAACAGCTCTGTTAAAGTCCGAATGGTAAGATTCACCCTCCGAATGAAGAGGTGGCGACCCCCCAAGCCGTAGACCTCTGTACTAACAATAAAGTCAAAGGAACCATACCCCTACTCGCGACCCTTCGAGAGATATAAGCCCCTGAAATAATAAATTCCTATTACAAATATACTGAATTATTTATATTGTTATATTGACCAAATAATAATTTATTGGCCAAATGAATAATAAAAATTAATATTGTTAATTTAAATAAGAATTAAAATTGTTAATTTGAATGTTTGAAATATGACACACGATAGGGGCGCCTCTAGTGTCCGTTATGAAACGATTACGGGACAGACAGACAACGGATCCCGTTGAATGGGTTATATATATAGATTAGGAAATATGTCGTATGACTTAACAAATTTTAAAAGTTAATTTCATTTTGTGATCAAAGCTGTGCACGATTTCTCTCGAAAATTAATTTTGTGATCAGTATGTGTCCTACCACTACTACTAATATTTATATTGTAGAATTTAAAATGCAACAATAAACACCATGTTGTCATTAATGCAAAATACAGGATGGCTCGAAAGTCAGTTAACTATTAAAAAAACAATCAAAATGGGATTAAAAGTGTATGCTATTCTGTGTAATTTAATTGAAATTATAAGAATTGATAATCATAAATTTTAATTTTGAAGTAGTGAAATCATAGAAAATTACAAGCAGATTTATTTAAATATCCGCCCGGTCTTTTAAATAGGAGCACTAACAGGGCATTTTTATAGCAAGCGTAACACGGGATTGATCAGGCTTACGAACGGGCAGCAAGGTGGAAAGGGCCAGACATACGTAAACGGCCATCTCCGAAAAATTACTGGTGACTTTCGATCCTTCCAAGTTCGATCCTTCCAAGTTCGATCCTTCCGGATTCGATCCTTCCGGATTCGATCAGCCCCCACAGCAGCAAGCTGTGTTTCTAATCGCTGGGCCATTTGTTCATTAGTCATTAGTAGTTGTTGCAAATCTGTTTTAATGATACATCTTAATTAAATAATATTTGGACCATTACACAAATTTTCAAAATATAAAAATAGGGAAGTTTTTCTATAGTAGTCAGGTATTTAATGTTTCAATCTGTTTAATAAAGTGTTTACTAAAAAAATTTAATTGTTTTGATATTTTATATACATATATTGTTTGCATCTGCTACAATATTAAACTTCTGAGTATTTTGAACAAAAATGGAATGAATCATTAATTTAACCATAGAATATAGTATAATTAATGTAATAAACATGGTAATGAACAGTATTGCGTTAAAAATCTAGGTTTCATATCAAACAATTTCTGGGTTTTATCTCATTACTTGTATTTTACTTATATTTAGAAATTAGTCAAATATACTTCAAATTTTAAAATCACTCTTGGATTCATCACTTAATTTTTTTTTTCCGTTACGTCATTAATAGATAGAAACTTTAAGAATCTTTAGAGTGCATAGGAAAATGTCTATTTGTCTATGGTATAACGCGCATTGATGATATATTTTAAGAAGAAAGAACCCATACTTACATTCTGTTTCGATAACGTAATGAAATACAATGAAATATATGACGTATGTTGTAATAAGATTCATATCTACTGGCATACTATGATACCTCCTGAAAATCTTACTTGTTCAGTAAATGTAAGGTTCGGTGCAAGGATATTATAGAATTTACTACCTGTACACATGAAAGATTTTCGCTACTGCGACAATTGTTCTAACGAATTACAAAACAAAACGTGACTTACGTTATTATTAGTTATATTTTTTTAAAAAAAACTAACTTTTGATCAATATATTAGTAATTTTGCAAACAGTCTTACTTGTTACAATTAGACAATTTTTTAAAATAAATTTTAACTACTCTTAATTGTTCGACATAATTTAGTATACTTTCCGATTTTTTAATTAAAACATACATTATAATATTTGA